GGAGGGTGGGTGGGGGTCTATGGTAATGAGTATTGCTGGGAAAATGTTTAATTGTCTTGAAAATAAAAGGTTGTAATGCGAAACATCTTAGTAGTCTTAAAAATAGACTTGGCTTTCTCCAAACAAAATATACAGTAATTTCTTATTTTTAGTTTTATTTTGGAGTGAAATATGACCCAGCAATATTCTGGAAAGGTTTTATGAAATTCAGGAGATTTTACCCGTACCGAAACTAAAGCTGTAATCATTTTGTGTTTTTCTCATTCTGAGTGACTCTGTTGTCTCAGATTGGGATGAAGAAGGACTTATAAAATGCCCAGTGCCTATAAAATGCCATATGAACAGCAAGAGCGAATTGCCTTGAATTGGTTGCACACTTGGTGATTAGCTTCGTCATCATCACTTAAAAACACGCCCTTCTCTCACCACTGCCTCTGCACTTCATCTTTTTTTTTTTAATTAGTAGTTCAATGCTAGAAGGTTACAGATGTCATGTTTAGTTCACTTTTATAATTTACTTTTTTACGTTGGGGGACGAAGTACGAGAGAATTTGGAATCTGGAAATTCCAGTGCTGCCTTTTAAACTGTTGGGAGTTTTGTGTGTTTCTAACGAACTTTTCCTCAGAAGGGAAAAAAAAACGCAAAGGACACTCGTACGATTGGACTTGTCGGACTGATCTCCAAAACCTACGACGGCAAAAGTGCTCGGAAGTCCTGTTCATCTGCTCAACGCAAGGACGTTCGACAACGGAAGCCAAACGTGTGAATCGATTAGACTACAAACAACGAAGAACCAATATACAAAAGTGAACGTATTAAAACCACGGCCAACAAAAAAGAAGAAAAAAGCCAAACGCAAGCGTGAAAATAGTTTTTCTTTGTACGAAGGCCAAGTGCTATCGCTTTCAAACTGTTACTTCTGATGGACACAATAATTGGTTTGAAACCACTGTGTATGTAGATATGTTGACTTTGTATTAAAGAAATGTTGTCTGAAAATGATGGTGTGCCTCGTTTTTGGTCTGAAAATATTCATGGACGTAGTTAATATTAAGTCTAGCATTAGATTTCCATGGGATCATTAAAATGTCATGAGCTCAGTTTGACAAGGCAGATGGCGAAATGAAATTGCTTATCCGCCGCATATACGAGGACCAATCAGCTGTCATCGCACATGGCATCTCAACAGAACAATCAATTATTTCACAATCTGGCCTGATACCTGAATGGTAAACACATCCATAAGCTCAACACGCTCATAATCAAACATCTCATCTCATCCTGATGCATTTAGCCACCCGCCGCTTGCAATTTTATCATGGCGACCCGGGATGTAAATGACATGTACATTGACTACGAATGTGTGCATAAACCACTGGAGAAAGCAGTTGTTTGGTTGTTTATACGCCCAATTATATGCATAATTAATGGCATTTGAGAAGTCAGTTGAGTAAGTGATCTAAAACAAGTTAGTACAATGTTCTAGGAAGCTTTATGTTAATATCACCACACAGTCAGTAGATCTGGTGCAAATCTTCAGCAAATGCCACTGGGCTCGGATGGAGGCTTGAACCGTTCACCTGATGCTATTTACGGTCCATGACGGCTTCCCGCTGAAGACGAGAGAACGAAAGGTTGGTTTATGTTCAACATGAAATCTTGGTTAAAAGCCTCAAGAATCCTAATGTTTCTAGGCAATGCAAAAGAAAATGTGAAGGAGATCTGGGGCTAGTTGCTTTTCTCGTCAGTCATCTAACTCATTAGCACTGTTCCTCGGGAGCCCATCAAAGTGCCGTTTGCATCAGAGCAGCCAAAAGCCATGGAAATTTCAAATAAATGAGAGAGAAGTAAATTGGACCGTCCGCCGCCCGTGGCAGAGCTGAGCTACAAATGGCACATCAGTTGAATCAAGCCATGGAAAATTAATCCTGGAGAAAGAGCCAGACATCATCTTTGAGAGATGAACAAGATAGAAGTCTTTTGCTCAGAATAATTGCTTGGAAATTGTTCAATGGACTTGTATTCAGATCTAATCAAGGCTGTTTTCTTTCAAATGCATTTGATGCAACAATGGTTTGATTTGTTTTCTTGAGTACTGATTCTTGAGCCATGCAACAATACAGTTTTGCCTGGTGTTAGTTTTGAAAACGGCAACATTTATGCTTTAATATGAGTCAGAATGATTTAGAATGTTTCTAACACGCATTCAATTTTCCCTTTGTTTTACAGAAATGTGGACGTTCTGAAACCACCATTATTTTATTTTAAAAATGCCTTTTCACAGCTTGTTTCAGTTATTAATGAAAACATTTCAGAAATGTGATGCTATCAAAACCTTCACCTTCAACCTTCGTCTTCATCTTGAACATCATCTTTCAATTTTTCACCAAGTTCAGCAACAGATTTTGGTAAGTAATTGGGCTTACCTTCTATTTCAGCACCATATGTCAAAATCATCTCATAAAATGTAAAGAATTTCTTGGATTTTTAGATAATTTCTCTCGTTTTATGTGAAGTGACCTTACAAAAACAAAATGGCTGCTGGCGCGCGAATGTTGACAAATACCACAGCAATCACTTATGCCTGTTTTCAGTTTGAAACCATGTAGGCCTACTCTCGATTCATTCACTCAATATTTCACGAATATACAGTGTTTGCCTCATTTTAGACCTAAAGTCGCACATTTTGTGAGAAAATGTAGGTTGCACCCAGACACCATATGAATCAATGAGCGACAGTTGTTCACATGATAAATTGTTCGACATATGTGCTATTTGTTTGTTTGTTTGCTTGCTTGCTTTGTTTGTTTGTATGCAGATGTTAGCAAAGAAGGGAGTTAATTGTTATACGCCTGGAAGCCGAAACGAACAGATCAGTCCCGGAGTCCCATTACAGATGTTTCGCGGCGTTTCTGGAGTGCATATATCTACAAACATATGATCAAATGTTACTGAATTCAGCTACCTCAGTAACTGAAGTTGAGCTTTATGTTATGCTAATCCAATACTTACGCGACCTTAAACCGAGACCTTTTTGGGGGGAAGCAAATGACTTCTTTCTGAAAATTCGCTTGAATACACTTACGGTTTATCTCGGCGAGAGGAGAGTGGCTGCTCTCCGAGTTTATTATGCAAATGAGACAATTTGACAGATTGCGCACAACCCTTCATAATCACTGTTCACGGACGGCTGGCTGCGGCACGAGCCGTTTCACTGGCGGCGCGTGCGTTTATGCGGAGCTTTTGGGCTCTTTTAACTAAATGTGCTCTCAAAACACTTTGACGGCACTTACAGAGCGGTTTACATCCCAAACACGATGGGTGCTGCTGGGTCAATAGCTTTTATTACCAGCAAAGGACCAGCTTAAACCAGCAAAGGACCAGTTTAAACCAGCATCCCAGCGTCAAAACATTCCTAACCAGCATATGCTGGTTTTTTCAACAGGGCTGGAACAACGTTTCTGGCAAACTATAACCAATGTTGATTTATACTACATAATTGAGTTGATAGTTGTTGCACGACAAACAAGCTTCATTGTGCTTTTTGTTATATTGGCTACTGTATGTAGTGCACTACACTATATTATACTGTATTGAAGACCAAATGACTGAAATACCCCCCATTCTTTACTGCGCATGAGCTGTGCATCAGTCTTTAATTTGTCATTGGAATCACTGTTTTCCCTGTTTGTTCATTTTGCTATGTGCATTAGAGTTATAAACACAGCTAAACGTTTAGTGTCTATTTTATAATTGCACGTCAAGTGTTTTTGTCTGTTTTGCGCCCTCAGCTAATAGGCTAATATCGTGTGCAAGTGGATGGCTGTTCTTCATTGTGTGCTATATGAGGCTAAAGTGAAATTTGTGATGTTAATAGCATTATTCAAAATCACTTATGTGTCAAATGTTTTCATTTTACT